TCAATATTCAAACGGTCATTAAATAAATGATTGTAAGTCAAGGACTACCTGTATTGTGGCTTTATAAAGCCACCATCTACATTCTTGGTAGGACCGAAATTTGAAATTGGTGACTGGTTTATTTGAATTGCATCAAATATATGCTTAAAGAAGCATCTGCTTTAAGCAAAGTTAGAAAAGACATTTAGGTGGAAGAAATACAACACATTACAAAAAACTCCTCCTTACCTTTCCATTTGGCAAAAGTCTCCGTATGTCTACCTGATCAAGGTGCCAGCCTGAATTGATACCTGAGCCATCGTGCCCAATGCGGATCTTTTCTAGGATGTCACCAACGTCTTCTAGCTGAAGGAATTTAGGAAAAATGTGGTTATGGAATTACCTGAAGTGATTTTCTTAAAGTCCAAAATACAGTTCAAGTTGTGCCTTTAATTTGTATTTTATTTTATTTTTTATTTTTTGCCTAAGGGAATAAAATTATAATAAGCATCCTGATAGCCCCCTCAAAATACAGCCACATTGGATGGGTTTTATTGTATTTCTATTTTGTGTGGTGCAACAATACTGCATGAATGCACAAAATCCGCCAAAACGGCACATAAAATGATTAGGGGACAATAACTGAGATTATTAGGAGACTGAAGGCTAAAATAAATAAAGAATGGTTATTGGAATTGGGGATGTCTAAGGAGGGACTGATGTCTAATTTCCAGTTTTTTAAGTGCTACTTATGAAATACAATGTAGATCCAGCAATAGAGAATGCTAAAGCAAAATAGCCCTGGATAGTTAGAAATATTGTCATTCTTACAGCTATTACTGTATGTTCTTACAAACTAGTTACACTGGGATGGGTTTGGTTTTTTTTTGCTTCCCTCTTGTCCATATTTCACGTTTATGGAGATTCTCAGTCATCCAGGATATGGTTGTTCCAAAGATGCTTTTTTCCAAGAGGCAACTGGACTTTCTGATATTTTTTTTCTCTTTGAAGACGTTTCACTTCTCATCCAAGAAACTAAATGAAATCCTTCCATTCCCAACCATCCAGTTCAGAGCTGAAGAAGCTTCTTGGATGAGATGCGAAACCAATGGTGGGATTCAATTTTTTTTACTACCGGTTCTGTGGGCGTGGCTTGGTGGGCGTGATGTGGCTTGATGGGGCGTGGCTTGGTGGGTGTGGCAGGGGAAGGATACTGCAAAATCCCATTCCCTCCCCACCCCCAATAACCTGCTTTCCTATGCAGGGCAACCAAAGATCAGCTGGGACTCGGGAGACAGAAAATAGATAGATGGGGCCAGCCAGAAGTGGCATTTTCTGAACTGCTCACAATTTCTGCTACTGGTTCTCCAGAACTGGTCAGAATCTGCTGAATGCCACCTCTGAGCGAAACGTCTTCAAAGAAAAGCAAGTCAGTCCAGTTGCATCTTGAAAAAAGCACCTTTGGGATTCCATATTTCATATTTGTCTACTAGTGATAGGTAACACATCAAACTTTGCTAAAAAAGCAGAGAGACAGAGAGAGACAGAGAAACACAGAGAGAGACAGAGACAGAGAGACAGAGAGAGAGAGACAGAGACAGAGAGAGACAGAGACAGAGAGACAGAGAGACAGAGACAGAGAGACAGAGAGAGAGACAGAGAGACACAGAGAGGGAGAGACAGAGAGAGAGAGACACAGAGAGAGAGACAGAGACAGAGAGACAGAGACAGAGAGACAGAAAGACAGAGAGACAGAGACAGAGACAGAGAGACACAGAGAGAGACAGA